GGTCTTAATTCCAGTTTATCTCCTTGTAGACATGAGTCTGAGTTTTTTATAAAACCCAGAAGGAAAACCATAAAGTTTAAGATGTGTTTTATTATAAGCCACAAATAGTAAGGTGTCAGCACAAACATACCAGTCGCCCCAATAAACTTTTAGCCTTATGTCATTGTGTAGCTTAGCATGTTTTTCTCAATGTAGGTTTTTATACCTGTTGTTTTACAACTGTCAGTTATTCTGGCTGCAGCTGGACAGACACCAGGGTCTGATCTCATTGCTGGGAAGATGTTGGGACAGTGTCGGGACTGGTCAGGCAGTAAGGCCCCATGGCACTCATGTCCATTGTGCTTGTGGGTCAGCTTCTCACCTGCTGGCCTTGAGGCTGTTGTATGTAGGTTTGTTTGCCTTAAAATGCTGTGCTGAGCACAGCTCAGAGGGCTGCAAGGTGGCTGACAAGAAGAGGCAACCCAGACAGTAAAGCCCTCTTTCCTCGTCAGTTGAAGCTGGACTCTGCCAGGCGACCAGAAGTTGATCTGCAAAACTCTTGGCTTTGAAGCCACTCCTGTCACTCAGGACATTTAAATTTCAGGATTGGGTTCACAGCTAACAGTGTTAACTTCAGGCTGCACTGAACATCTGTATCTTGTTAACCTGAAGCAAACAGTTCTGTGGAATTTCAGGATGGAATGTGAGTATAAGAGAGCTTTATATGGATAACAGAGAACAAGAGTTTTGGGTGCTTGGTTTGGACATTTTGAGATGTAGAAAAATAGCCAATTTTCAGAAAAATATTTTGCCTTCATTCCCTTCTCCCCCCTTCCCCTTTTAACCCTGTGTCTATGTTCAAGATACCTAAACCACAGCCCATGTGTACTAAAGGACAGCCTCCAGCTCTTGTGTGGGAACAGCAGATCTCTGCAACTGGAGCTTGTGTACCGAGGGATTTCTGAGAGCCTCTGGAGGCAGGCGGGGACAATGACCCTTGTATTTGTATAGCAATGCTCAGTTAATCTCTGTGGAAGAATGATGTGGTTTTGTATGAAAGTCAGGTGCTGTTAGGGCAGCCTGTCATTGAACACCTCTATGTACGTGGTTTATTGATTTGCAGAACTCATTGTGGTATTTCGACATTTCCTAGCATCGGGACTTGACAATAAATCCTCAGATAACCTGTGTTGTTGGATAATCCAGGTAAAATGAGAGTCACGTTCAAGGAACTGCTGGAATACCGGAGCAGGCTGTTGGAGTGAGCAGAAACAGGATTACAGGAGTGTGGGAGCGAGGAGGGGAGCTCAAAGGCAGCAGTACTAGGGCAGAAGATGTTCTGGGATAAATTCCCTTTTGTATTACTTGCACATGTTTATAATCTGCTCTGCTGCTGGGCTTTCAGGTTGGTTTGTGTTGTTTTTGTTTTTTTTTTTCCAAACAATTTGTGGATTACACTGTGAACAGTGTATCATACCTCAAAACCTATAGCTTTGTGTTGGACCTCTGTAATGTAAAAAGATTCAAAGTTTCTCTGATAAGGTGGCCAAGTCTGTATTACTAGAGTGCTTGTGACAGACTTGCCTTTCTCGTGCTTCTTCATGTATGACTCTAACTGGGGGATGAAGCACAGTGGCACACAAACCAAGTAGAAGTTAAAAACAGGATGGAAAATGTGAAAGCTAATAAGGAAATACAGTCACGTGCCAACAAAGAGAAAAAAAACCATCTGAAAATAGTGTCACAGAAGCAGATGATTTAAAATGTGAGATAAAGTCCTGATGGTATTATTTATGGGCAGGACTCCTTTGTTTTATAGTGGAAAAATGTAAAAAAATACAGTAGCGAAGATCAGTGGCAGGAGACTGCTCTTTGCCTTCCCTAAAAGCTACAAATTAGATGGCTCCCCATTCTGCAATGTTTTTGGGAGTGAGGGTCCAGCCTCATCCTACAGAGGACAAGGACACGAGCCTTTGGCTGCAGGGCCCAGCACACAGTGGTCTCATAGCAAATTGAGGATTGCAAAGCTGAAGCAATTTTTAATTCAGGTTATTCTTATTTTAATAATTAGCCAGCAGCCTGTTCCTATACTCTGAAGGACATGTTCTGCTTTGGAAGCATGCAGTGTTCCACCTTTTCTCAGTACTCAGTCATTAAAAAAATTTTCAGGACTGCCTAACAAGTGGCTATTATATGGGTCTGACCTTCATGTTTTCTCACCAGAAGAAAAATGTGGAGTTCACCACACGGCCAAATAAAATGGAAGAGGAGTTTGTTTCTGTGAAATAGTACTGAGTGAACCTTTCTGACCTTATTTTCAGGGACCTGACACCCTGCCAGGGCGATAGCCTTCTAGCTGATAGGAGAGCCAAGACTGCAAGGTGAAAGCACAGAGCAGAGGATGGCAGGTTTGCTCTCCAAGTAAAGGAGGAGATTATTCTTGTCTTGACAAAACCATCTAATTTTTCCCTGCTGGAGCAACATGCAATGAAGTGGTGTCAACTACTGAACTACTAAGTCCATCCTGTGAATATTTTTTATAGATTTTTTTTTCTCCTATATTTTTACTTTCTTCCAACTATTTGAATTGATGAAGAAAGACTGACAGAATGCTCCCAGCAGCTGGCAGTGATGTGGTGAGGCTAATAATTTTCCGTATGACTTTGCTAAGCTTTGAAATCCACTGGTGTGCTATCTTAAGTAGGGAATATCCAGCTTTGTTCTGCTTTGCCTGATCCAGAATAGGTTGTTGAATGTGACTTTCATTCCCAGCAAATGCAGAGGCTTGCTCTCCAGACACCTGTGTATATAAATATGTATCCAAGTGGGACAGGTCCAGTGAAGAGGGAGGGTTGTGGTGCTATCAGTGGAATCTGTCTCTAGCATCCTCTGAAAGTCTCCTAAGTTGGGTTGCTGATACCCCTCTGTCTCTGCCTTTCTGTCTTGAAAATTTTTTGGAAAAGCTTTCCAAAAGGAAATTCTGGTGCTGGAGACACATTTTGCTTTTTGTTGAAGTGTGTATTCATTTTTGATCAAATGAATAGAAGTTTCTCTGAAGAAGAGCATTCCCTCTCTAGGGTGCCTGCATGAGCACTAAGCCTGACCACAGGTGGTTTTGCCCTTGACAGTGGGTATGGAGTTAATTATATGGGGACCAGGTTCAGTGACTGCATTTTAAAAGGCTCCAAGTACGGTATTAAATCAGCAAAAAAGCAGCACTGAGGCACAGCAGCCACATAAGTTGTGTGCTGTGGTAAACCTGTGTATGTGAAACCCCTCTCTGAAAAGATTTCAGCACTTCACATGACCTCTGCTAATACTTCTTTTTAAAAGGCACTTTGTGTCAGCTGTTTCAACTCCACACTGCTGCGGGTTATTCTCAAGTCTGGTCTGTTTTCCAGTCAGCGTGAAGTGGACTCTGCTGCCTGATATGAACTGTTGACTTGTCCTGATAGTTTCTGTTGTCAAAAAAACACAGCAATGAGCCAACTGCAATGGCAATGCAGCTGTGATTTCTGCCAGCCTCTGGGTATGTTTTCCAAATACTGAAGCCAGTGACCTAGCTGAACTGAAATCTCAGTGAGTCCTTTAATGGATACTACTGAAAAAAGACCTCTTCCTAGTGCTTTTTTTCATATAATCTAGTAGACAGCAGGATATGAGGGTTTGAAGAGAACCGTGATCAGTTGGATGGGATGTTGCCTATGACACTTAGGGGCATAGGTGTTAACACCTTAAATGTGTTAAACATAGCCTTTACTGGCACTCTAGAAATATTTTATTTCCTGCCACTGCAGATAGACCTGAAGGTGTATCTGGAAAAGCAGCTGATTTTTCTAGAGTGCTATCCTATAACTGCAATGTTGAGCTCCTCCTGAAATGACAATTTGTCTAGTCATCAAAAAGCTGAGTATTGATCGATGTCCTTTTCAACATTATAGCTGATCCTGTAGTTAAACTAAAAGAACTCGAGGTCCCTTTCTTAATACATTCCTCTATTCTGACTGGCAAACTAACAGAAAAGGGTTTTTGCATAACTAAAAATGAACCAGTCTCATAAAATGAGTAGTAACTGCTGTTAGCAAGTCACTGGTTGCCCAGGTCATTGGAGGCTGGTGTTGTCCCACACAATGTGCCATTTTCAATCCAGCAAGGCTTAAATTATTTTATATTTGCACAAACTCTTAACTCTCTCCATTTTAGAGCCTAAATGAACAACCTGCAACATACACTCTGCAAGGATAGCTGACATCAGCTTATTGATCATATTCCCTGCCCAGCCCAGACAGTGTAGGAGTGACTGACCTTCCATAGTGCATTGAAAAACTTTAATATTAAAGGAACATGAAAACATACCAAATAAGATAAGCACATAAAGGCTGGCTGAACCATGGGTCCCGGAAGAACACACGCTCCTTAGCATGAACACTGCAGAAATTCTGTTGAAAATATACCTGTTCACATGCAAAAGACAAAAAAATACCTTTCCTGTGCAACTGCTGTCAGTGCAATGAATAAATCACTTGAAAACTTAACCTGCCTGCCCCAATTCTTTGGCCCATGATGGACAAAGCTTATGTAAAGTGTCACTATGTGATGTTACAGAAAGTATTGTGTCCTATACATTATTTAAAGGAATGAAGTTCTCTGCAGGACAGCAAATGCTAGTGGCTTCCTGGTGACTACAGCCATGCTGGCTGATTTACAAGGTGAGCAAAATCTTTTTCTCTTACACGACTTAGAGGGACATGGGAACCTGACCCACAGCCATAGCTGAGTTAAGGGTAACACTTCCAGTTTAGAATTTTCTTAAGAAGGAATGTGCATGTTAATCATGCCTAGTTATTCTCCATTGCTGCCACTGGTAGAGCAAAATCTTATTTTCTAGGATTTCAAATCCTCAGTGGAGGGTAGAGTGAAGCCCATTAGAAGAGTTAGGCCTAAAGAGGAGTTCTGAGTTGTGAATTGTCTATCTGGACCTACACTAACCTCTCATGGTCTCTCTCCTTTTTGTAGGCAACATCTTTGTTGTCAGTTTGTCTGTTGCAGACCTTGTAGTTGCAGTTTATCCATATCCTCTGATCTTGAGTGCCATTTTCCATAATGGATGGACCATGGGAAACATGCACTGCCAGATAAGTGGGTTCCTGATGGGCTTAAGTGTCATTGGGTCCATTTTCAACATCACAGCGATTGCAATCAACCGCTACTGCTACATCTGCCACAGCCTTCGGTACGATAAGCTCTTCAACCTGAAGAACACCTGCTGCTATCTCTGCCTGACCTGGATACTCACAGTAGTGGCAATTGTGCCAAACTTCTTTGTTGGCTCCTTGCAGTATGACCCCCGGATTTACTCCTGCACCTTTGCCCAGACAGTGAGTACATCATACACCATCACAGTGGTGGTGGTTCACTTCATTGTCCCACTGTCCATCGTGACGTTTTGCTACCTACGGATCTGGATTTTGGTAATTCAGGTCAAACACCGGGTAAGACAAGATTGCAAGCAGAAGCTCAGAGCAGCTGACATCCGGAATTTCTTGACTATGTTTGTGGTTTTTGTGCTTTTCGCTGTGTGCTGGGGACCATTAAACTTTATTGGCCTTGCTGTTTCAATTAATCCTTCAAAAGTGCAGCCACATATTCCAGAATGGCTTTTTGTCTTGAGCTATTTTATGGCCTATTTTAACAGCTGCCTCAATGCTGTTATCTATGGGCTTCTTAACCAGAATTTCCGGAAGGAGTACAAAAGGATACTGCTGGCACTCCGGACTCCCAGGTTGCTGTTCACCGATGCATCCAAGGGTGGGACGGAAGGGATGAAAAGCAAGCCGTCTCCAGCCGTAACAAACAACAATAACCAAGCGGAAATACACTTATGAGTCCCAACAGTACTATTTATTCTGGATTACAGTTGTATATATAATATAAAAGAGCCTTTCTATGTGTGCATTTCACAGCTGGTGTTGCTGGGCCTCATGCAAGGAAGGAGTCTGCTACCTTGCATGCTTAATTATTGCTGTGACATCAGGGCTTTGAGTAAGGAATGTCAGAACAGAAAAGACTGATCTTTATTTTATTTTCTTTTTTCATATGCTATCTTTCACCATGTGCCTAGCTAGTAAGTTTGGTTGCTTTTGCCACAAACATGCCAATACCCTCGGAAAGGGAAACGTTCAGAGTGCATGGAGAAATAGTTATGCTTGAAATGCAGCCTTCAAGAACTAGCAAAATTCCCATGAGTTACAACAAACCTTTCCTCCCTCCCTCTGAATTCTATTCACCCCAGACTATAGCAAACAGAGTGTAAACTGCATGACTTTTAACCTTTTCAGTTAGGTAACAGTATTAGCCAGCAGGCATACATACTGGCATGATGACTTCCACTGCATGTGCATTTGTTTTTATTTTCTCTTAAGCTTTAGAAGCCAGCCTGGGCTAGGTGTGAGGCAGGCATTTTAATTGAATATCTACAGATATTAAATACCCTTGCACTCTCCTCCAGGTCATGACTAAAACATATGATGTAATCTGAATGCAGGAAAATACTTGGAGCCTGATTCTAATTTAGGCAGTGTCTTATCATGGCCTGCATTCATTCCAAACATCTTTCAGAAGTCCCTGCTACATGAACATCATAAAAAAGATGAACATAGCAGAATCCCATCTGTTTAATGCAGATGCCGGCTTTTAAGTTCCAGGAATATTTACACTTGCAGACAAAGGGAGAATGGGAAGGAAATGTTTGTTCCAAACACCTCTCCTTTTCCCCACCACATAACATGAAAAAACGTGGACATTTTTTTTTCCATTTTATTTATGTACAAAACTGTAATTAATTCATGGAGCTGGGAGAGGAAAGCTACTTAAGCATATTCATGCATCAGTTCTCAGTTAATGCCTGAACTCTGTTTGTGTCATTGGAAACAATGTCCTGACATGCTGGGAAGGCCAGTATCACCAGTTGGAAACAACACATGGGCAAAGAGAAGGCTGTTTCTTTAATGGAGTGTATGTGTGTGGTGGGGGTGATGGCAGCTGTCTGTAAATATGACTTATTTTTTTCCCTTAGCTTCACTGTGAATTAATCTCCTTATAGTTTTAAACATCTGCTTTGACACAGTCCCATAAAATCAGCAGGTAGAACTCCCCTGGTGCAACTCTACCTTCAAGCTAGTAAACCTGGCTTGATGGCTGGTGTACTGAGAGGCACAGTGGGAGCTGTGTGATGGAGAGGAGCAGGTCTGAGCCCCGTGGGTCTAATGAGGACAGCAGCCAGCCCTGCTCCTGATCATGGGGTGCAGCCTTCTCTCTTTGATCACGGTCAAAGCAGATGTAGTTCCCAGGGCTGAACCCTCGAACACTGAGAACCAGGCTTTGCGATAGCATGTAGGTGCTTAGAGATGGTGGTTTGTAGGATTTACAAAAACCCTAAGCAGGATAAGGGTCTAATCCTTGGCGAAGTTAACAAGCCATTTGTGCATTGTTTGCTGACAGCAACTTGTTGCTGAATGTCACCTCTGCTGATTTTTTGGGGGGAAGAGGAGTTGAGAGACATTAAACCCGTTTATGAAATGGGGCAAGAAACATTGCATGGCACGTTGCTTTGGTGAGGACTGGTGTGCATGCTGCCACGTGGTGAAGGTTGCTGCAATGCAAGGGGGGGCTTGTCTATGTGTTTACAGGGCACCCTGGCATTTCATGAAGTTTCAAACTTGAACATCTCAGCCACTTCAGATGATTATTGTTTTAAAATGTACTGCAGCCAGTCTCCCATAATAGGAATCAAACTGAGTTCTGTTTTGGCCTCTCAATCTGCCTGAGTATGGCCAAATAAAGGTATCTTGACCCTCAGAAATAATGTGGAATAATTCTGAGTCAAACGTGGATAAAAAAAGCACTGTGGAATCCATAACTGCACAAAGTGTTTGTCCTGTTGTGCCAAGAAGATGACCTGTGTTCTGTGACTAGTCTTCAAAGTAATTTGCAATTAGCCACAACAGTGTTAGTTAGAATCACACTAGCAAATAATTTTTAAGCATCTAGCGCCAAGCCAAATATGCTTCTTTCAATTATGAAGAATCTTGTACAGGTTTGCCAAATGTCTCAAATACCCCACAGGTGGGGTTTCATTTTATGGACTGTCTTTTTAATGGAATGTTTGGTGAAGACAATGTGATTTTTTTTTTCTTTAAGCTTGTATTTGCACTATATTTCTTACTCAGGCTCCAAAGTAATAGCCAGCAAGCATCTGAACCAACCAAGTAAGCCAAAGAGGTCCTGAGCAGGCAAGCTGTGGGAGTCTCAGGTAGGAAGGGGAGCAGCACAAACATGATAGGGCACCTCTCCAGGACTTGCAGAGAGTCACTGCTGAACCAAACTATGCAAAACGATAGGGGGATCTGCTCATCCTCTGCTGTAGGGTCTGAGCCCGACTCCTGCCCAGGTCTTTGCAGGGGACAGGCTAAGTACCTGCTGTGCTGGGGTGGTTCTGAGCAGCTCCTTCATGTGCAGACCCTGCCACTGCCCCACGGTGTGGCATGGGTCTGTGATGGGTGCCGTCCAACAGCACAGAGAGCTTGCTCTAGAACGCCCTGTTCAGAAGTGCTTTGGGTGTCCCATAATAAGTGAGGACTGCCCAGGAGTGAGCCTGGAGCTGGGCTGATTAAGCTGCTATGGTTGGAGTCCTGAGTTCAGTCCTGCTAGAGCTGAGGTGTTGCAATATGAAACGTGAACAGCAGGGAACATGGCTTCAAACAGAAGACACTGTGCCATTTGCTAGCACTTTGATACAGAGATGGTGCTTAGAATAAGATAGATTTTTATACTGATTTATTTTAAAACTACCCAAGCAGCTCCTTATTTTTATGTTAAGAAATGGTTAACAGGGTACAGAGAGTTTATTTTGTTAACATTTGTTTACCATAAAAGGGAAGTGTGTCTTAAACTGGGAATCCTGAGCAGTGTCAGAGTTTCCCTGTGGGAATATAGCTTTAATCCAAATTTGCGCTTTCGAGGAGATCCCACCACTTAAATCACGCTCTGCCAATTCCACTTGTTGTTTACCTGGCCTTAAGTCTCAGAAATAACACTGAGATCTCCTAGAAACTAGTTTTAAATCACTTGCTTTGGATTTGACCTGGTGGTGTTGAATACATGTTCTAGCCCCAAACTCTAAAATTGTCTTAGTGAACATAAATTTATGGAAAGGCAGTATTGCCATGAAGGAAGATTAATCTCCTGCCACAAAGAAATACATTTGGATGTTGCTAATGAATGTTGCTTAATCAATTTAAGAAGAATGTAACCAATATATTTATATATAAATATATATTGCATTTGATGTTTCCATTTTATCATTTGGTTAAGAATCCTTCAGTATACTTTCCTATTGCTATTTGTGTTCATGGAGTAGATTCATTCCCTTTACCTGTTAAAACTGTAATAAATCTGTCATCCCACTGCTTATTGATTTTTTTTTCCACTTGCAGTTATTTTTTAATAAATATCTGGAACAACGGCTTGGGTTTTGTTGACACCCAGAAAGCAGATTGAATTGATGAATATAATTGAGTTCAGGCATACCTCATCTGCCCAGCTCAGACCTGGAAGAGAATGACCCAGTGCCTCTGGGACATCTCCTTGGATTCATGTGTTTTTCTTCCACCTGCCTGTGAGACAGCTGCCTGGTGCACTATGGCCTTCCTCATGAGGGAAGAAGCTTTCTTCATACTGCCCTTGGTCTCATCGCTGTGTGTCCCTCCAAGGCACCTTGCCTTTCTTGTGTCTATCCATCGGGTGCTATGGAAGCAAAGACATCCATTTCCTTGCCCTACAAACTGTGTTGCAGCTGAGAAGGAAAGCACAGCCAAGCTGGGAATGGGAGGGTGTGGGAGCTGGAGTGGTTGCAAGTCATGGCACAAGGTGGCATTTGAGCTGTAGGGGAGGGTTGGAGACAGAGAGAGTCTCCCTGGGCTGCAGGCACAGTGAGAGCTGCCACACTCTTGGTCTCCACTGAGGAGCTTTGTGAGGATTAGGACTGCTCTATCCAAGATGATTTTCCTTTATTTTTTCCCCACCTCTGTTTTGGAGCAGATTTTGCTGTATTCATGCAGTTCGTCAGACAATAGGCTCTGTCCGTAGGTTGCAGCAATTACATTTCACAGAATCACAGAATCATCTAGGTTGGAAACGACCCTGGAGATCATCTAGTCCAACCGTTCACCTAGCACAGTTCCCATCTACAGCATGTCCTTAAGCTCTAAATCAACCCTACTCTTGAACACCTCCAGGGGTGGAGACTCCACCACCTCCCTGGGCAGCCCATGCCAACACCCAACAACCCCTTCTGTAAAGAAATACTTCCTTACATCTAGTCTGAACTTTCCCTGGTGCAACTTGAGGCCATTCCCTCTTGTCCTGTCGCTTTCTACTGGGCTAAAGAGGCTCAAACCCAGCTCTCTGCACCCTCCTTTCAGGGAGCTGTAGAGGGTGATAAGGTCTCCCCTCAGCCTCCTCTTCTCTAGACTAAACACCCCCAGTTCCCTCAGCCGCTCCTCACAGGACGTGTTCCAGACCCTGCACCAGCTTTGTAGCCCTTCTGTGGACATGTTCGAGTAACTCTGTGTCCTTTTTGTAGTGAGGGGCCCAAAACTGAACACAGGAATCGAGGTGCGGCCTCACCAGTGCCGAGTACAGGGGTCAGATCCCTTCCCTGTCCCTGCTGGCCACGCTATTGCTGACACAAGCCAGGATGCCATTGGCCTTCTTGGCCCCCTGGGCACACTGCTGGCTC